TTTTTTAAAATAAAATAAAATAAAATAATATTATGCATAAAATATACAGTTATTATATTTAATTTTATAGAAAATACTACTATCCCAATTATTATTATAATTATTAATTACAATATCACAACTATATTATATTATAATGATAAATATAATTATAATAATTATTATTAATTACAACATCACAACTATATATTATAGTATATTATCTTATAATGATAAATATAATTATTATTAATTACAATATCACAATTATATGGTATATTATATTAATAAATATAATTACAATGTATAATACGTAATATAAGATATTATTATAATATTAAATATGATATAATATACGTATATAATTATAATATATTATATTATATGTTATAAGATATAATTATATAATATAAATTATTATAATATAATATTAATTATATTATAAATATTAATATAATAATATTTATAATTATAATATTAAAGGATAATGATGAAAAAGAAAATTAAAAGAGCTTAGAATGAGCATTCTTCTCATGTAAGGGAGGAATGATGATTCACTGATTTGATGTAAAAGTCATTCAATTTTGAATGACTATTCCTTTTTTTAAAACAAACCAAACATGAGAACGAACATTAATTTCTTTCTATTGCTTTCCATTCCTTCCAATCAAACACACCCTTTTAAGTCTACTTTCTCTCTCCTCCTTTCTCTTTCTCTCTCGATCTGCCTGCCTTGTCGTTGATCTCCGTTGAAGGAAGATCAAAGATTAGCACCGTCGATGACGTCTGCAACATCGGCTCCTTCGCGAGCGACATCAACGATGCTCGTCAGCATCATTCTCGCCATTGATCCTCCTCGGCCTCGCGAACCCATGTCGTTGCTTCTGATCACGGTGAGCAAATCTCCTGAATCCAAGGCTGATTTCAGCGAGTTCAAGCGGCTGGGTATAATTTCCCAATTTGAGTCTAGATATAACAGATTGTAAATTTAGAGTTTCTGGTCGTGTAAAATTTCCGGAAAAGCATATTGTAAATCCGAGTTCTACACTAATTCAATGTATTTAAAATCATAGATTGCCTTTTTAAGCTTTATTATAGAGATGATTTGCTGAGTTTCATTGGATTTACTGGCAAGAGGCATTGTGATTTCTCATTGTGTTCTAACTTCCTAGAATAAGAGATTGGGAGAGAACAAGAATGAAGGAAAAAAAAATGGTAAAACTTAGAAGGGTAAAATTAGAAAATAAAGAAGTTGAAACTAAAATTGGCCTATTATTTACTAAGGTCTTGTTCAGTTCGTTGATTCGAGTTTTAATTTGAACTAAGATGTGATTTTATGTAAAAACTTTTTATTGTAGCAGAAAAAAATTATATATAATTTTTTCTGAGAGTTTTTAACTGTAGCAAAATTAAAATTAAAAACTCAAATCAAAAAATGAACGAGACCTAAGTCTCAGTATATCTGCTATTTGCTTCCAAAAGGTTTTAACAATTGGCCTATCTACTATAATTTCTCATTAATTAAGTAACCATTCGGAACATATCGGTGGAATCAGCAGACTGGTTATTACTGGATAGATTACCCATGGTATCTTACACGGTCACTTTAGCAACAAGCAAACTGATTATGAATGGTGGACGCTTATTGGTGAGTGAGGGAAAGAGATAAAGAAGAATAGAAAAGGGAGGAAAGTATTGGGACTAATATTTCTTAGTGACGCAATATAAATGAAGTTTCCAGTGGCGTTTTCTAATTCAACAATGAGAAAAAGTGAGAAAGTGGGTAGTTTAGGGCTTGTTCTTTTGGAGTTTAACTTGAGTATAATTCTTGAGTTGAATTTGAGTTATAACTTGAGTTGAACTTGTAACTTGAGTTTGTGCTTGGTTGCGTACATTTGAGTTTGTGTTTGAGTGAGTCAAAACTTGAATTTGTATTTAGATAGTATTTTAATAAGAACTCAATGTTGATGAAAAATTTTAATAAGGCATATGGGTCGGGTTTTATTCGTCTTTTCGTTGTCAACGCATAGAAAAAAAATCATCTCAATCAGAATTAAAACGAAAAAGTTATAGTATTTTTAAGAATAGAAAAAATATTCGAGTTTCTGAACTCGAGTTGAAGGGAAAACTTGAACTCGAGTTTTAGTCTTAAACTCGAGTTTGAACTCGAGTTTTAGTCTTAAACTCGAGTTTGAACTCGAGTTTAAACTTAAAAGAACATGAACTCGAATAAAGTTGTAACTTGAATTACCTTTTTTTAAATTTTTCACTTAAAAGAACAAGCCCTTAATGACTTTCTCCTGTACTTGGTGAATGGTCATAAAGAATGGCCGACTTCGGACTCAAATAATTGGGACATGCTTGATACCACCTAATATGAACATGTCACGTGGTGCTGTTATATTATGGACACATGTGACTTCGCAATGCAATTTCGTAACCACACAATGAGATTTTAGAATTTAGGGATACAATTTTAATTAACTTTTCAATCCTAATAATTCTGTAGTCGTATGTGTACATATATCGAACTCCTAAAGAAGATTAGTGGCAAGAAAAAGTCATATTACTTTTCCTTTGACATTTTTGTTGCATTTTCCACACTTGTACGATTCTCGTCGCGATTTAGTTACTCTCCTGCCTGATGATTAAAGACCAACACTTAGGATTCGTTTGGTTGGAGGATTCAAATTATGTGATTCGAACCATTTTTTATTTACGTATATTTTTTATAAGAGAAGATACTGTAGCGAACCACGAATTATCATTCGAATCAGGGAACGAATCCTTCTACCAAACGCCCCCTTACTATCTCTAATGGTCGCCATCTCCTTTGTATCTCTATCGTAATAATTAAACACGCATTTGATTCATAAGTTTGAACAATAAATTTGAAGAAAAACTTGCTCATGTTTGATTCAATGTTTTGATCCAAATAATTCAATTCGAATAGTGCCCAAAAGTCCAAAATCACGTTTGGTTTAGAAAAAAAAAAAAAAAAAAAAAAAAAAAAAAAAAAAAAGAAGAGAAAGAGAGAGACCATTCAAAATCACAATTCGGATTTCTAATTTTAGAATTCACATATCCTTAAATTTAAGAGTCCTGGTTGTTATAAACAATTTAAACGCAATTGCCTTTTTACTTGTTCTCTCTCTTCAACTTGAAACTTAAAAATTCCATAGTTTCTTTGTTTTAATTCCAATTAAGATGATTTTTTCTTTTTGCTCATATTAAAATATGCTACTTACGATGAGGTTTATAAAATTTGTTGTTAAACTCTGCCTAAACACAATTCAGATTTATTCCAAATTCAAATTACTATTATTCGTGTATTTAAATACTGGTTTGAATTGCAGTTTAAATAGCCACAATTTAGATTTGACAATTCAAACCAGAAAAAATTTAAATCACTACAATTTGAACCTCGAATTAAATATAGCCTTTAAATTTTTTTGTAAGACTAAATATTATCACGAATGGGTTTGAATTATACCCACGAAAAAATGGTGTATAAGTTTCAACAGTTACACTACATGGATAAGATCGTTGATCGTGTATATATATATGTATGTGTATATATTGGTAATTAAATATTGGTACTTCATCTTCATTAGGTAAGAAAGCACATATTTAATTAATTACCCCTTCTGGTATTATGTTCTTCCAAATATCATTTATTTCCCCTACAAATAGTGGAGCTTAGTTGTTCCAAGTGACTCCAAAGGAG